TCTCTCTCTCTCTCTCTCTCTCTCTCTGTGTGTGTCTCTGTGTGTGTGTCTTCGTTCGTTCTCTGTCTCCGTGTGGAGCGGGATGTCGCAGCCGGCTTCGAGGAAGGAGGGAGGGAGAGGTGGAGCGCGCTGATGTTGTTTGCCCAATGGTCCGTGTCGTCTCTGTAGTCATGTGCTGTGGTTGAAAGCATCCTGTGCTTGGAGAAAAGCAAACAGCACAACAGAAAACCAAATATGTTACGGTCAATCCACCGGTTCTCTGCACCTCCCTTTCTCTTCGTTGCTCCATCCTGTTCGCAGAAATCTGCGTATGCAATCCCCAATCAAGCTTTCAATTGCAACAGAAAGAAAAGCAAATGTGTTACCATTAATCCAACGGTTCTCTTTCCCTCCCTTCTTTCTCTATCGCTCCATCCTCTCCACACATACAAGTGATATGACCATCGTCATCATCTTCCCAACCATCATAATGGTCGTGGCGATCATGATCATCATCGTCATCTTCGTTCCTTCGGCCCTCCTGCTCTCTTGTGCTCCTTCCTCTACCTCTTCCATCTACTTCCCTTCGCACATCATATCTACTCCCCTCGTCTCATCACATTATCTACTCACCTCGTCTTCGATCTTCCTTCCTCTCCCGATTTACTGGCTTTATTCATCTGCCTTTCTCTCTCTCTCTCTCTCTCTCTCTCTCTCTCTCTCTCTCTCTCTCTCTCTCTCTCCCCCTGGCCATTACGACATCATCACTTCGTTCCTTCGTCTCTCCTGCTCCCTCATGCTTCTTACTGAATCCTCATCCTCTGCCGTCGACTTCCCTTCCCACATTCAGTAATATCTACTCAGTTCGTCTTCCATCTTCGATCGTCGATCCTCAGTTCTTGGTATTCCACCGTCGATTCACTGGCGACGTCCAGATCTCTCCTGCTCTTTCTTCCCTTCGTCTTCCCCCTTCGGGGCCCCCTCAGTCGTACTCGATGTCATCACAGTCCCTTGCGCTCGATTGCTTGTTCTCATCAACCTGCTTTTTTCTTAGATGACAAAAAAAAAAAAAAAAAAAAAAAAAACATGGCTGATGGTCGGTTTCCAACTCTCCCACTGTCTCTTTCCTCTCCTCTCTCCTCAACTCTCCCTCTCGCGAAGACAGAAGGAATCTACTTCACTTTCCCTCTCGCGCAGAGAGAAGGAATATATTCATCTTTTTGTTTTGTCGGGAGAACTTATATTTTTCCTCTACCAGTTATAAAAAGAACGGAGATGTGACACGCACGAAACCTTAAAAATAAAAAAATAAAAAAGGGGCACGCGCGGTAGATTTTTTTCCGCTCAACGGCAAACATACACCCCTTCTGTTGGTGGGTGGTCATAGCCATGGATGTCATGGCAGTCTCCTCTCATAAGCCTACCTTCGGCATCCCGATCTCCCGTTCTCTTCCCTTGATCTTCTCTCCTTGGGGATCGTCGACCAGCCCCTCCCTTTCGCTCCATCCCATCACTGTCCGTTGATCCCCCCCCCGTGACGGTTCAATTTGCATGAACGATGGTGGTCCCGATCTCCGCTTCTTTTCCCTCGATGTTTCCTCCCTTGGGGCCCCCTTCCTTCCGCGCTCCATCCCATCGCTATCTGTTGATCCCTGCTTCGTCAGGGTTCAGGGTTCTTTCTGTTAGACGACAACGAAAAGAAAAGAAAAACCAAGATGCCCCTAAAAAAAAGATGGATCGCGGGTAGAAGAGAGAGTTGGATTTCGGGGGGGGCGGAGAGAGAGAGAGAGAGGGAGAGAGGAAGAGAGGGAGAGCGAGAGAGCGAGAGAGAGAGGGAGAGGGAGAGCGAGCGAGAGAGAGAGAGAGAGAGAGGGAGGATAGATGCATGTACGATGTCGTTCGAAAAGATCATGTGGGTAGAGAGAGAGAGAGAGAGAGAGAGAGAGAGAGAGAGAGTTCATTGTGGGCAAATGGTCGGCGAGCGGTAACACGTTCCCTCCCTCCGCTCTCCAGGCTGGATCTTCTCCTCCCTCCCTGCTTCTGTCCTCGCTGCTACCTCTCTCCTCCCCCGCTGTCATCCGTCCATCCCCCGCTCCCTCTGTCCGCTGTCCGTGCTCAATCTTCTCCTCGCTCCCTGCTTGTTTCCTCCGCATTCCATGCTCAATGTTCTCCTCACTTCCTCCTTCATTTTAGTCCGTTCATTCCCCCTACCTTTCTCCCACCTTCGTCCTCGCCTTCGTTCGTCGACAATGTACATCCCCCTTCCCCTCCCTTCCCTCTCCATGCGTAATCTTCTCCTCGCTCCCGGCTTATGTCCTCGCTGGTCTTCCCCTCCCTCCACTTTCAATGCTCAATCCTCTCCTGGCTTCCTCCTTCCTTCTCGTATGTGCATTCCTCGTCCTTCCCCCACCTTTGTGCTTGCTTGTTCTTCCTTGAACGCAAAGAGAGAGAGAGAGAGAGAGAGGTTCCCGCGCTTGGACAAAGAAAGAAAGTTCACATACCTTGATGATACCTTGATCCCCTATCATCTGCGCACCTGCACGATGACCACCGATGTCCTGTCGTCACCCCTTATATCGGGCAGTGATGGCTCCTCCTTCCCGCATCCTCCGTCCTCGCTGCTCGATTTCCTCCCGCTATTCATAGACGTTTCCTTCCTGCCCTCCTGTCAAGATCAACTTCCTCCGTCCTCCCGGCTCAAGTTGGCTATGGCGTCTGTCTTCTTCAACACTTTCTCCCTCCCGCTTCTACGTCCGTCGCCATGCAGGTTGGCAATCTCCTATCTCGCACATCCGTCCTCCAATCTCACAGGCACGACCTGCAGCCTCTCAACCTCCTCTCCTCTCTCCTCCCCGCTCAAGTTGCCCTTCAACCTTTTCTAGGGGCCTCGCCACACCACTCTCGAAATGTGAAAAAGACAAAAATGTGGCGGGGGCATCTGGCCATGTTCTAGTGGGAAGTTCCTTCCCATTTTGCAAATTTCGAGAGTGATGTGGCGATGCCCTAGAAGAATCGAAAATGAATATATATCTATATGCGCAACAAAAATTAATTGGCCGTATTCTTGACGATGTTCTACCTCGCACGTTCGTCGTCGAATCTCGCGTGCACGACCTGCAGCTGTGGCGCCTTGCTGATGCTGCTTCGCCAGCACTGCTCCCGCAATGCGCCGCTATTGTTTTGTTTGCTGATGGCGTCTCTCGTGCGTCGGCCTTGGGGAAATTTCCCCTCCGTCCCCACGTCGCTGCCACTGACACCGCCCAGCGGACTTTTTTTTTTTTTTTTTTTTTTTTTTTGACAATTGTTGGCGAGGTATGCTGCCCGACCTCACCCAACACCGCCACGTGCTAGCGCCCCGCTCGTCGATCCGCGCCCAAACGCACGGAATGGCACACACGCATGAGACGACCTCACCTAACACCGCCACGTGCTAGCGCCCCGCTCGTCGATCCGCGCCCAAATGCACGGAATGGCACACACGCATGAGAACGCCTGAACGGGAATCTCGTAGACGGCTGATGACGCCAGAACGGGAATCTCGTAGACGGCCAGCAAGAGCCCAACGGCGGCAGCGGGCGCAGGCGCCCTGCGAAGGAATGGAAGCGCCCCCGGCGCTTCCACAAAGTTCCCGCTTAAGGGGGACCGAATCTTTCCCATAGGATATGGAAAGATACGCCACCATATTTTTGTATTCTTAGCGCAGGAGGAGATTAGCGGGGAGGGGAAATCGAGAAATGGTCCAAATTTTTCATTATTTTTTATAATTTGTTTATATTATAAAAAAAAAAAAAAAAAAATTGGAACGATATAGAGAAGATTAGCATGGCCCCTGCACAAGGATGACACGCATAAATCGAGAAATGGTCCAAATTAAAAAAAAAAAAAAAAAAAAAAAAGGAACGCAAAATTGTATCTCTATGTACTTTGTATTCAAACCTACGGGTAGGGTAAAAAAAAAAAGGGTTTTTTTCTTGAGGGCGGCGCCGCCAATGGTGCTGGTTAGCGCTCGTGGCCTGGGCCCGTCGACCGGTACCGGTGCTCCTGGTATGGTCGGCCCATCGAGCAGTACTCGCGCTACCGTGGTGTGAGTTACTGCGGTAAACGCGGCTCACCGAGCTTTGGCTATGGTGGCGTAGTTCTCTACGTGCGCCCCGTCTTACCGTGATGGTAGATCGCCCCATCGCCCCACGGCGAACGAGGAATGTCATTGGAGTTCACCATTGATGAGGGTAGGTGCGCGCAGCACCAGTACGCGGACAATTGGAATCCAGTCACGCATTCATCAGTACAAGGCGCAGAGGTCAGCTCACCCTGGTAGCTTCCAGCTTCCGGAGATTCAAAGAGGTGCAAATTTGCATGCGGCCACAATCTGTGCCTCAGGGATTGTAATTGTATCTGCAACCGAGGCGGGTTACCTTCAAGACCGGCAATTGGATCTGGCCCGTAGGTAACTTTTCTCTCCCCTACTGTTTTCTACTATGCGGTCGTTTAGGGTTCTCGGGGGATTCAGCCTTATAGTAGTTTTAGAGTAACAACTCATAGCATTCAGTGGACCGAAACTTCGATCGCCTTCCGTAGGGATGGTAACCCCAGGAGTGCGTACTCCCAGCTTGGTGTGGCGGAGGTTGCCCACCCTTCACTACGCACTGTGACCCTTCCCCGCCGAGCGTGCATCCTTCCCTTAGGAAAATCGTTACCTAAGGACGGATCGAAAATTTCCGATCAATCCTCTCCCCGCTCGCTCCTGCGAGCCATCCCTGGACAGGGAATTGTTACACAATTAGGGTTTTGATTTGCGATCCGGGAACGCACACTGCTCTACGACTGCTGAGGTGAACTGTTCATCCCCGAAACGGCGCACGGTAGTTTTTGACCACGATCGGGTGTGGTAAGTGTCGATGCCCAAATCGATGGAATCTCAGGCAAACTTGGCGTGGGCTCTCGAGTAGAGGTGCGACAGCGCGGAGTCTTGCACGGATAGTAGGACCTACTCCTACCGCACGTTCCGACAAACATCTTCGTAGGCAAGAAGCTACGCGCAGGTTCTCATTTAAGATACGGGCCGGCAAGTAACTCTCCACCCCCTCCCCCTTCCTCGAAGGCGCTAAAGCTCAGGAAGACGCTAAAGCACCCAAGAGCGTTAAACGCATACCACACTGGCAAAACTCATCATAGTACGATGGACCAGCAGGTAGTAGAGTACGTCATGACAGACAGAAGGGAAGAGCCCTCCCCAGTGAATTCTGCAGATTCGTTCGAAGAAAGAGCCCGCATTCTCATCTCGATGTGCTATGACGAGGGACTATGTCCCGAGGACGTTCCCATCGACGACGTCACAGTTGAGGGTGATGAGGCAGTAGTAACAGTAGGAGATGCATTTGATGATCTCAAGATCTGATGGCTCAAAGAACGAACAGTGGTAGTAATATTTAGAGATGAGGCCCGTGACTTGCCGAGAAGTGTCAAGGAAGACATTGTGAGAGCATACGAAAGGGGGTGGAAGAAGGATGAAACATTTGACCCTCCGGTAGATAAAGGCAGGATTAAATTTGAAGGACCAAATGTACTCTCATACGTTTCGAAGGACAAGGTGGTTGCCGACTGGATGGATAACGAAGGAGAAGCTGAGGTGGCGCTGAAAGGGAAAAGGTATGTTTTCAAAATGAAACAATGGATGACGCGCATAGAATGGAAAGAGCTCCGTAGAGTGGAATGGGAGAATACATTTTGGGTGTTGGCCATTCAAGTGCCGTTAGATGCTTACATGTATCTGCACACGACCTTAACCCGAGTGATAGGTCCGGTCGTTAAGATGGAGTCTCCAGACAGATTCAAGTCTAACCCTCGACTGCTCAACATTCGGTGCGAATTGGACCCAAATTGTCGCTCTCGCTTTGTAAATCGGGTCTGGGTAAGGACAAAGCAAGGGGATATGGTCGAAGTGAAACTGGCATCTGCCTCCACTCCTTACTGCTCAAACTGCAACTGGTACTTCCATACGGAAGACCAATGTAACCGCAAGAAAGACAACCCCAATCGCGGGAGGAGCCGGTTCAACCGGAATTGAAACAAACGCTCAGAAGAGAGCGAGGATGAGTCCTCCTCTCATAATTCTTTCTCAGGCAGTGCCAGAGGAACTCCCCGGTACAAGGGAGAGTTGGCGGGGGGCAGGAGTCACTCCTCCAAATCTCGCAGTAGAGCAAGTACGCCTGAGAGGAGGTCTGAGCACCCTGGGCGGGACCCCTCGCAGAACCACTCATAGGGCGAGGGCAAAGTCCGATCGATCCCCAATCCAATCTTCTTCCCTTTCAGGGACCAGGAGCAGTACCCAAACATGGCGCAACAAAGGTTGTCAGGGAGACAGACGGTCCAACCCGGAACACAGGCTGATCTCAATCACTTATTCAGGCACAACCATAATTTAGGACAGGCGATGATGAACTTGATGTATGCTGCGTTCATGGCAAACGCTGAGCCCCCACCACCGGGATGGGAGCAACATGCAAGTCAAGATCCGCACCCATCGTCTGCACCAGCCGATGCACACTCACCTACGAGGGTCCACTCAGGAGATCCGAGGGTCACCGGACTCCGACAATCCAGCGATCAGGGGGCATCACCCTCAGTGGCAGCTGCACACAATCGATCCACGAGGGGTCAATCACCCCTCAAAGTACCTCGAGTCAACCGGACAAATCCTGAGCAGTCAGCCACTACTTTTGAAGGCAACCCCCGAGGAAGATTCGCTTATGCAATCTGACTCTAAAAAATCAGTGAACAGCACAACTGAATCCTCCGCATCGATTCGCTCGGACGGAAGGGGTATGGCTCTTCCCCAAACAGGGATCAAAACCACCCGAAGCAGAAGAGCAGTCACAACCGCTAAAGGACAGACTCTCCCCTTAGAAAAATGGCTCCTCCCGTTAATCTGTACGGTGGTAAATGGCTCAATCCATGTGGTTGCATGGAAACCAGATGATTCAAAGATCAGCTTTTTAGCGCAGATGGTCGAAGAACCAGTTACTCCACAAACAATCATGGCTACGGTAAAACACATTTTCGCGGACCGTTTCCCCTTTCGCTTGATTCCTGATATGGCGCCGCCGAGATTCTACCCAGATCTTCATGAACCAAACCGTAGCTGCAAAGTCTTCACCCCGCTGTTAGATGCACGTATCCCACAGGACAAGTTGGATGCCCTCCTGTAGGAGGGCATGAGGATGATTCCTCTCTCAATGTTCATAGAGGAGGACAAAGACTCGCTCCAGCAAATGGTTGCCCAACACATCTCAGATGCAGGATTCCTGTGCAAGATCAATGAGAAGTTGCCAAGGAACAAACAGTTGCAGTCCATTTACCTAAAAAACATCCTCGCTCAAAAGTGGACCTCGCCCTAAGCCGCTGGTCCCTCCACCAGAACTGGTGGAACAGGCTCTCGCCCAGCATCATCACAGACAGGGACCAAGGGGCCCCACCAGAAGTTCACCATCCAATCAAGGGCACACGCTCAGAAAATGAATGGATAAGTGTAATATAGTCTCCTGGAATATTAGGGGTTTAGGGGACACGACAAAGAGAAACAAACGAGGTAGACTCAAAACCCTGTTGCACAAGCATCGAGTGCAGATAGCCTGCACCCAGGAGACTAAATTAGACGAACGAAAGATTGCAGAGCTCGGAGCGTGGTGGGATGTACCACAGCTATGGTCACCAGCAATTGGCACAAGAGGGGGAGTTGGGATCCTGATACACAGGGACCTACCGTTTCAGATCTTGGATCACTTGGTAGATCTTTGGGGACGTTGGGCCTGGGTGAAGTTTTACGCATTTGGGGCAGACTGTGCAATCATGACTGTGTATGCGCCAGTAGATAGATCCGAACACAGGAAGTTTCTCGAAGACTTGATCTCATACACACCCGATGTAGACAACCATTTAGTAACTGGAGATTGAAACTGCTCGCCAGATGACATAATGTCAGCAGGGTCAACAAGTCCGGATATCCTGGCGCTAGTGGATTACATGACCGAACTGGATCTGGGGGACGCTTTTCGACTTATGCACCCATCAGACCCAGGCTTCACTTGGGGCTCGCTCTCAACAGAAGGGAACTCAATGGGAGTGTGAAGAAGGTTAGATTTTGGACTTATGAGTCAGTCTTGGTGGGAGGCTGCATTGAATGCCAAAGTAATTAGACATCCTGCCTCCGACCACTACTCGATACTATTCTCCTTCCAGCTGGAGGAGGTGGTGGATCGCGGCAGCGGATTCTTTCGCATCGACGTTGTCGACATTGGTGGGTCCCGAATAACTTCCCATCACTCGAGAGATTGAATACAGACAATTTGTGCACAACAGAGGAATCTGGCGTGAGGAGCAGGAGAGAGAAAAGACAAAGGATTAGGCCGCAGAAGGAAGTGATGCCCTGAGGACAGAACCACAAGAGGAAAGAATTAGCGACAGCAAGCAAGCAAGCGCAAGAACAAGGGCACATAGAACACAGCAGGAGGCCGGGTGGGCCATCGGAATGCAATAAGACTAAGGCAAAATGGGCCCTTTGAACTAGCAATTGCAGCGCGACAACAATAAGGGAATGAGGAAGCCGAGGGATGGGCGGCCAAAGGCCGCAGGAAGCCAGGAAATGAGGGGCCAACGTGGGGGCCACCTATGGGAGCCTCGGAGCGGAGACCCACAACCAAAAAGATCAGCACGCACAAGGCGCAAGGAAAGACTAAGGAGAGAGGTCGCTATGGGGCGACAAGACGCCCAAGGGGAGTGGGACACTTCGGGGAAAGGCACCCGGGGCCACGTGAGACTAAGTAAAAATAATGGCGTTCGGGGCGAAATGTGTCGGGGACCGCCTACGGGACTAAGTGTCGGGGACCACCGACGGGATTAAGTGTCGGGGACCACCGACGAGACTAAGTGTCCGGGGCCACCGACGGTACAGGTGGCGGGGACATGTGAAAGTCCCAAGAAGAAACCACGACACCGCATGAGGGAAAAATAATAAATGCAAGGTGCACCGTCAAGATCGACATCTTGACGGCCAATAATATTAGCATCACTAGTGCAAGTACCAGTGGTGACAAACGAGAAGGCTAAAAGGAAAAGAAAAAGTAAAGAAAGCTAAAGTGGGAGGCATGGGAGCAATCCGAAAAATCTCGGATCAGCCTCCCTCAAGAAAATAGAGTCAAATAAGACCCCATGTGAAAAAGTGTCCTCCGGAAGAAAATTGGAGTAGGAGGGACCAT